AATGATAATGCTGATAGTTAGGAGGAGTATGATTATAGTAATAATCATAATACGCAATAATGATAATGATGATTATTATGATACTAACAAAAACAAAAATGATAGTGATGATAAATATGATACGAATCATAATAACAACTATTTTACAACTACTGATAATAATACCAATAGTGAGAATACAGTAACAATAGTGTATAAAGTAACATAAATCAGAATGTAGATAGTGATAACATATTTGATGATAATGACAATGATAATGACGATAACCATAAGCCATCAACAGGGACCATGTCTTTTCACTCCACTATGACCATGGCATATAGGGGAAAGAGAAGCGGAGGAAGGCACTTGGAAAAACCCAGGGATTCTTGCACAATCAATTATGTACTCTCGCTCGCAACTCTCATGCTCTCGCTCGCTGCTTCCCTTAGTATTTAGAGATGAATAAGATCCGTTTGAAAAGAGTGTGTGTGTGTGTGTGTGTGTGTATGTGTTTGTGTGTATGTGTTTGTGTGTAATTGCGTGTCTTTGTGTTTGTGTGTATATGTATGTGTGTATGTGTATGTGTGTGAGTGTGATTGCATAGATCCTGTAACCTTTCCAAGAAACCTTTTCCCCTCATTTTCCTCAAAAAGTTTTAAGGAAAAAAAGTACACCGGCCTCTTTCATTTCCGATTTTTATTATAATTACTATCATGGCTGTAATCATAATCATTAGTAATATTTTTGTTAAAATTATTATCTTATCGTCTTTTTATCATTTATATTATAATTATTATTGACAATGTTATTATTATTATTATTATCATTATTATTATTGTTATCATGATGATTATTATTATTACTATGATGAGGATAATTATCATTATTATTCTCATTACTGTTATCATTGTTATCATTGTCCTTATTTTTTTTTTCTTTCTTTTTATGGTTATTATCATTGTTAACATTATTATCACTGCTATTATTATCATTATCATTAATATCATCATCATTATCACCATTATTGTTATTAGCATTATTGTTAATATCATTAAAATTATTATCATTAAAATTATTAACATTATCATTATTATCATTACCATTACTGTCATTATTGTTATTCTAATTGCCATACTTTTCATTATAATTGTTATCATTAATATTATTATTATTATCATCATTGATATTATTATCAGTATCATTATTATTACTATCACTATTATTATCATTAGCAGCAGCAGTAGTAGCAGTAGTAATAGTTGACGTTGTTATAGTAATAATAGTAGTATAGTAATAACAGTAGTAATAGCAGTAGTTGAAGTAACAGTAGTAGTAATAGCATCGGTAGAGGTAATAGTAGAAGAGGAAGAAGTAGTAGTGGTTGTTGTTGTTGTAGTAGTAGAAGTAGTAGTAGTAGTAAAAGTCGTAGCAGTATCAGTTGTAGCAGTAGCAGTACATTTAGTAGTAGCAAAATAGTAGTAGAAGCTGTAGTAATTGTAGTAGTAATATTAGCAGAAGTAGAAGTAGTAGTAGTAGTAGAAGTAGTAGTAGTAGTAGTAGTAGTAGTAGTAGTAGAATTAGTAGTAGTAGTAGTAGTAGTAGTAGAATTAGTATTATTGGTAGTAGAAGTAGTAGTAGTAGTAGTAGTAGTAGTAGTGGAATTAGTAGAAGTAGTAGTAGTAGTAGTAGTAGAATTAGCAGTAGTAGCAATCCATTGGTATAACCAACTGACATTTGATTCCAGACTTAGGATCATCGAGGAACAGCCGCCATGGCGACGAAAGGAAATTGGTACATCAGCGTGATGGCAACACTGCTGTTGATGTCAACTTGGCGACTGTGTGAAAGGTAAGGCTGCTGATATTGCTATCACTGTATATTATTATTATTATCATCATTTGTCTTCAAATCATAATTTTTGTTGTTATCGATATCATTAGTTGTATTAGTAACATTCTCATAAACGATATAATTATCACTATTCTTACTACTTTTACCCTCATTTTCATTAATGATATTATTATTGTTATGATATCGTTATATCAGTATTATTGCTGGTATTGCCATCATTATCATTACCAGAATTGTCAACGTTATTAATATTACTATTTTTGTTATTGTTATTGTTGTTTTTGAAATATTAGTATCGTTACTGTTGCTATGATAATGATCACAAATACTCATACCATTATTCCTATTAACTGCATAAAAGTTGTAGCAAAATCATTATTATTTTTATTTTTGTACTTGCTATTGTTTTGATCATTGTAATTGCATTTTTATTGCCATTGTTATGATCTTTATTACTGGTATGTGTCTTTACTATTATTCATATTCTCATTCGTAATTATCATTGTCAATACTCTTATCGTAGTTATGGGTATCGCAATCATCAGTATTGAAAGTCATCACTATTTATATTAGTATCATTTTTATAATCGTTATCTTTACCAAAACAATGAACTTCGTCTCCGTTTAACTAATCTGGAGTCCGCTATTAGATATTTAAATAGAAACG